ACACACATTAGCTTCACCGTCACGTCAACTTTGACCTTTAGTCTTCCCAGCATGCAAAAGTTGCATCAAGAGTAAAAGAAGTAAATTAAAATCAAGGACGATGAAAATCTGACTTAAAAATAATCATGTATATTCACTGGTACTAATATGAAAGTCAGAGCATCTACACACAACCCCAAACACACAGCACATCCATGCAAACTGTGCAAAGAGACCAACGAATGCTTTTAACACGAGTGAAATGAAAAAAGATCAAACAAATCAGCACAGAGCAGACGCAGACTGTCATCCAGACGGACACAGACAACACTGTCAGTAAACCACACAGGTCCCCATCCACACCAAAGTGCACTATGTTAACTGTGGTTAGCAAAAAGGGTTTCAGAGTAGGTTGGAGGAGTTCTTGCCTTACCTTTCCATTCTGTTAGTGTTGGTCCGATTTAATGTGAAAAAGGTGTTTACAGAAGCGTGAAGAATACAGTGACTAACGAGATGGTTCAAAAGTTTACAGTCAGAAGCTTAGCTGCAAATTAAGGAAGCATGGATGCAACATGCTCGTCTGTGCTAACATATTAGCTTTATGCAGTTATATTATGAGCTTCACAAGCTTCCCATGCCGTTGCTGAGCTGCACTGTTTACAGATTAGTTTGCTTCTTTAAAGAAACGCATGCACTCTAAAAGAAATGTTATAGAAGCTGCAAAGTGTGGAAGACCATGGGTGGGATAACACAGTGCATGTTTGCCTTTGTGAGTCATCGTGCGTCCAATAGGAGGAATAACAGTTAAATGGGATTATTGTTTTTTATTTGTTTGTTTGTTCCTCCTTCTGCAAGCTGCATTTTTAAAGCCCAACGTGACATTTATCATAACATCAGTGTCTGAATCTTTCTCGGGTTTCTGATGTGACACAGTTTGTTCTTGTGATCGTGCTGATACATCGTCCGCCCAGTTTAACATGAAAACTTACTGATGTTGAATCGTCTGTTTCAACCTTCACTCGTATGTCCCAGATGTTAAAGACATGAAAAGATGTCGGCGTTGTTCGTCTTCACTGGCCTTCCATACTTAAGCAGCGATGTATTATAGCATGTCTTACTTCTTGTAGTGTAGTGTGTTATCTTATATGGACGGGCTTTGTAATATTATCAGTTTGTAAACAATACTTTAAGCTGCTGCTCAGAGTGCATTTCCAAAACATGCAACACAAAAAGAGGCAGAATTACAGACTAAGAGACGGTGCACATCACACACATTCATAATCGAAGCTTACAGAAAGTAACCACAGTCATTACAAAACAACAGTTCAGTTTTTATAGTCAGTCTGAATGTATTAGGGCCACACGGGGAAGGAAAACCAAAGGGTGATCCTGAGCTGATGATCAAAGAAATCAGACAGACTCGGGTGAAAAATCAAACTAAAACCTCAGAGATAAGCAGCAGTGGTTGGCCATTCCTCTCAGCCATGCACGGTGGCCTCTTATTATTAATATCAAATCAACTGAAACACACAGAATGGACCAAATGATATCATGTACACCAGCAAGTGCTGTGGAAGTGAGAGAAATAAAGGCAGTGATAACAAAGGAAATGACAAAAGGATGGGACTGTGTGAGCCTGTGGAGAGTTAAGGAGTGTGTGTATACCTCAGTAGTCCTATTGACCATCATCTGTAGCAGGATGGGGGAGGGAAAGATCAGTTCAGTTAGGCTGCGTCACAGACATTAGCTCAGCTGTGCAGCCTACAG